AAAAAAAAAAAAAGAGAGAAAAAACATCCCTTGGTCTACACCAAACTAAAAACCCTACTTGAACTACTATGGGATATTGAATATTTTGTTTTATATATTTATTACTCCTATAATTGTTCGGTGCATTAAGTCTATCCTTTCTTTTAGCTTGATTAGGTTTAGCTTTAAAGTCTTGTCCTGATATGAACACATTTCAGCTTTAAGCATTTCAGAAGAAATATTTTACTAACTCGTTCTTTTCTCAGCCAGCCCACTCTGAAAGATTTAGCGTCTTCTCACTCATATATTCAACGTGATTCGACCTCTAACATACCGGTTGGTGTTTGAGTTGTTTGGTTATCATTAGAGCAAATCTGATGCATCATATATTCTATTTTCTTTACGTTGTGTTAAGGATAAACTAATCAAAAACTTAGGACATAAAATAATACGTACTCCGTAATACTTATTATTATTATTATTATTATTTGTTTTTTCTTCTTTTTTTATGGTAGAAGTTATGAACTGTGTTGATACTTGATAGTGTAATGTGTTGAGCACACAGATCTCTCCCGTCAAAGAGAGAGAGAGAGAGAGAGGGGATGTACTTAATTAAATTGTGTATATCGATCACCATTCTTGAGGTATTGATATTTGATCAGTAACAATTTAGTTGGTCCTACTGAAAGATTTTCTATTTGAACGTTTATGGATTATAATATAAAATAATAAAAACTTAGGCACAATGAATATGAAGCAAAGTATTTAACATGTTGACGTTTAGTTGCTCTATCCTAGCTTTTACGTCTTTCGCTTTACCTATTTTCACAATATGTAGTACGAGAAATATTCACCGAGCCCACATATCAGGCGAATCCCACATCGACAAAACACGAGAGAGATGTTAGATATATATAGTAAACAAGCTTTAGATTTTAATAACGCGTTTAAAAACCATGCGGGCCTAGACCCAAAACGGACAATATCACTAGTGGGTTGAGTTGTTACAGCTACTCCACGTGCAACCTTGAACGGTGGTGGAGCCTCGCTCAGTCCCTAAGGTGGGCGTCAGGCGAATCCTACATCGACAAAATACGGGAGAGATGTTGGATATATAAGTAAACAAGTTTTAGACCATAGTGACTCGTTTTAAAGCCGTGTGAGCTTAGGCCCAAAATGGACAATATCACTAGTGGGTTGGGCTGAACCGGAATTAAAATGGATTCAAAAACGTCAAACCTCTCTTGTTCGAAAAAATTAAGGTGTCGGGCGAGTCTCACATCGACAAAACACGGCAGGGATGCTGAGTATATAAGTAAACAAGCCTTAGACCCTGATGACGCGTTTTAAAGCCGTGCGGGCCTATGCCCAAAACGGATATTATCACTAGTGAGTTGGGATGAACCGAAATTAAAATGGATTAAAAAACGTCAAACCTCTCTTATTCGGAAAAATTCAAACACATCAAAATGGTACAAACGGTACTTAATAATAGAAGGATTTGGCAAAAATCTGTAAAATTGTCCCTCTTAAAAAGATTATTCCAAAGTAAATGGACAATATATATAAAAGTAAAACAAAAATGTGTAAAATTGTCCCTCTTAAAAAGATTATTCCAAAGTAAATGGACAATATATATAAAAGTAAAACAAAAATGTGTAAAATTGTCCCTCCTAAAAAGATTATTCCAAAGTAAATGGGCAATATATATAAGTAAAAATAAAGACTTTAAGAAGTAAGGAAACATTTAGTAAAAGCTAAAGGGATTCAAATAATGAGTATTATACCCCTGTTTATGCGTATCTTTAATTGAGAAGCTTAAAATTGAAGAAATCCCTATGACAAGCGACTCATGATAAAAGAAAACTTTGATTATTAGTATCTCTAGCAATCAGCTTTTATTATCTTTTTATGACAATTGAATTGATCGGTTGATGGCTATAGTACCAACCTTAGAGCACCAGGATCTATACTTTTGTTCTTCAATTATCCATCAATGAACTAAAATCTTATATTTTCTTGGAGACATGACATTTGGGTTTATTTATTACTTCCTCCCCCATTAACCACAATTTTGTCATACGTACTACTTTTAATTTGGTTTCTAACTATGTATAAATTTATTCAACAATACCAAAAATTAAGTATTAAAATTATATAAGACAGAAAATTAGATAGTTTAACTCTTGTATTTCGAACTTTCTTGTTCTTTTTCAGACGTANAATTGGGCCTGGTTACCCTTAGCCCACTTATGGGTCTGCCCTGTCCAACAATTGTAAGAACATAGTGCATAGCACATGTTACTTTATATTTTACTTATTTTCCTCATACCTTTGTATTTTTAATTATTTGTTCCATCCTTGTATTTATTTTATGTACAACTTTATGCTAGCTAATAGGACATTGCCACTTGGCAATATAGTATGTTGCCTTAGAAATATTCCTTATGTATATAAAGTTTGGCTTGTACACTTAATACAACAGATTATTGAATATACAAAAGAAGAAATCTTTAATTCATTCTCTCATTTTTTCATGGTATCAGAGCAGGTTTAATTCTGCTATCTTTTTCTGCTTTCTCAGTCATAAATCAGTTTTTCTTCTTCTCTTAAGCTTATCTGCTATAAGTACTTCACCGGAGTCGGCTGATACTCTAGCTTCTGCTTCTGCTGCCACCACTAATGTTCCTGCACCTACAGTTACCATTGTTTCAGGAGTGATTGACTCTACTCACCCTTACTACCTTCATCCTTCTGACTATCCAGGGATGAACCTTGTGTCCTCAGCTTTTGATGGAAAAGGATATGGAGGTTGGAGAAGGGCAGTTATCATTGCCTTGTCTGCAAAGAACAAGCTGGGATTTATCGATGGCTCTCTTATTATCCCTAAGGCTGATTCTGCAATCCAGCAGGCCTGGGGTAGATGTAATGATATGGTACTTTCATGGCTTCTCAACTCGTTGTCCAAAGAGATAGCTGAAAGTGTGCTCTATTCACAGAGTGCAAAGGATTTATGGAGTGACCTGGAAGACAGATTTAGACAGGCAAATGGAGCAAAGCTGTTCCAATTACAAAAGGAATTAAGTTCAGTAGTGCAAGGAAATTCAAGTGTATCAACTTACTTCACCAAAATGAAAAGCCTATGGGATGATCTAGATGCACTCAATACATTTCTGCTTGTGTTTGTGAGTGTGAGTGTGGTGCAAAAGTCAAAAGCTTGAAAGCACACCAAGATGAGAGACTACTACAGTTCCTAATGGGACTAAATGATATATTTATTGGGGTAAGGAGTAACATTTTATTGTCATCACCTTTACCTTTCATTGGACAAGCATACTCTCTTGTGATTCAAGATGAGAAACAGAGGGAGATACATGCTACCCCTGCATACTCAGGGAAATCTGCCTTATTCATTGCTACAAACCAACCAGGAAACTTCAGAAAATTTAATGAGAACAGGATGCAGAAAACAAGTTTTGAATCTAAGAAATATTTAGGAATTTGTTCCTATTGCAAAAAGCCTGGACATAGCATACAGAAGTGCTATAGAATTCATGGGTTTCCAGCTGATTTCAAGTTCACAAGGGAGAAAAGGTTTCAAGGAGGTGGTGCCCAGGCAAACAAAGCTTCCTTTTCAAATGAAGAAAATGAACAAGGAGCAGAAAGTGCATCAGGAGTTCAGAATCTCACCAAGGAAAATGTGGCTGAGCTGTTGCAGCTTCTTCAGCAAGTGAAAGTGGGATAAAATAGTGCATGGACCTCTGATGTTGCAGCAAATATGAGCTATGCTGGTATGACCAATTTATTTGAAGATTTAGCATGTTTAATTCAAATCAATGATGAGTCTTGGATATTGGATAGTGGAGCAACAGAACATATGTCTTTCAACAAAGATTTTTTTACAGATTTAAAAACCTTGGCTAAACCTCTCATGGTAAAACTCCCAAACTCTTACAGAGTTAAGGTCACTCATTCAGGAACTATTTCTCTTTTGCCTAATCTGATTCTTCAAAATGTTCTTTACATTCCATCCTTCAAATATAATCTGTTGTCTGTGCACAAGTTGTGCAGACAACTCAATCAATATGTTTTATTCACACCCTTTTCATGTTTTCTTCTACAGGTCCCTTCAATGAAGAGCCCACTGGAGATTGGTAAAGAGGAAGGGGACCTCTACATTCTCAGATCCAGACATACAACACCAGTGTCTAAGAGTTCACCTAAGTTTAGGAGAGTTTTTATTCCAAGAAGGAATTTTGTTTCCAATCATAGTTTCCGTTCATGTTTTAGTTTTTCTGATTCAATTGTAAAAGAAAAGCTGTGGCACTACAGATTAGGTCATATGCCCTTTAGCAATATGAAAAATGTTTCATCAATTTCTATATCCAAGTGTTCCAAATTCTCCACTCCATGTGTTATTTGTCCTATGGCAAGGCAGTCCAAACTTCCTTTTCCCTCTGGTTCTATTTCTACTAAGAAAGTGTTTGAATTAATTCATGTGGATACCTGGGGACCATACAATAGTGCTACATATGATGGATTTAAATACTTTCTTACAATTGTTGATGACTTCAGTAGAGGCACATGGACCTACCTACTAACCAACAAATCCAATGCATTCACTATTCTAAAAGGTTTTATAGCTATGGTAGAAAGACAGTTTAATAGCAAGGTGAAAACTATAAGGTCAGATAATGCTTTTGAATTGGGAAGTGGTAAAGTTCAATCAGAATGTTTTGAGTCACTAGGTATTATTCATCAAACCACTTGTGTGTCCACACCACAACAAAATGGAGTTGTGGAGAGAAAGCACAGGCATCTTTTAGAGACATCCAGAGCCTTGTTATACCAGTCACACCTGCCTATATCATACTGGGGTGACTTCCTTCTTACAGCAACCTATTTTATCAACAGATTTCCTTCAAGTGTCTTAAAGCTTAAGACTCCTTATGAAGTTCTTTTTTCAAGCAAGCCAAAGTACTCTAACCTTAGATGCTTTGGGTGTTTATGTTTTGCTTTTACTGTCTCAAATCAAAGAACTAAGTTTGAACCAAGGGCTATACCTTTTGTGTTCTTAGGTTATCCTCATGGAAAGAAGGGTTACAAAGTGTTGAACCTCGAGAATTTGAAGCCCTTCATTTCTAAAGATGTTGTATTTCATGAAGAATTCTTTCCATTTGCTTCTATTAAGTCTAATTCTTCTTCTGAGATTTCTTTACCCACTGCTAAAGTTTCTGCAAGTCAACAGACTCCTGAACCTTTACCTTTTGCTATCAGACCTCACACTAAAGCTTCCAAAGAGGCTACTGAGTCATTAAGTGACTTCTGTTCTTCCCCCATTTCTTCAAATCATCCTAATACACCTATTCCATCTATCTCTCCTTCTAGTTTCTCTCCAGATTCTCCAGTAACATCTAGTCAACCACATACATCTGCACTAGTTTTTCCTTCTTTGAATTTTGATTCTATGATGGATGTTCTTATTAGAAAATCTACCAGACCACACACAACTCCATCTTATCTCAAGGATTATATCTGTAATGCACTCCAACTCACAGATGTTAGCAACTCTTGCTTTCTCACACCAGTTACACCTACTTGTATATCTTTCAGTGGACTATCTTCTACCAATCAACATATGCTAAACACATTGTCCAATATACAAGAACCTACAGACTATTTACAGGCAACACATCACCCAGGGTGGCAAGAAGCAATTAATAAAGAGATTGAGGCACTTGAACTTAATAAGACTTGGGAAGTGGTTGAATTACCACCCGAGAGGAAAGCTTTACCATGCAAATGGGTGTATAAGGTTAAACACCATTCAGATGGGAGTGTGGAAAGACTAAAGGCAAGATTGGTCATTAGAGGAGACATACAGAAAGAGGGAATAGACTTCAATGAAACTTTTTCACCTGTGGTGAAGATGACCACAATCAGATGCATACTGGCCACTGCCGTAAAGAAAGGATGAGGTCTATACCAGCTATATATGAATAACGCTTTCCTACATGGAGATCTAAATGAAGAAGTGTACATGAAATTCCCACCCGGGGTTGTACCTCCTCCACCTACTCATGCATGTAAGTTAAAGAAATCGATTTATGGGCTACGACAAGCTTCTCGTCAGTGGTATGCTAAACTTACAACTGCTTTGAATTTTAAGGGATTCACTCACTCATTCAACAACTATTCCCTTTTCTTTAAAAAGTCAGATTCTTCCATTTCTATAGTGGCTATCTACGTGGATGATATACTCTTGACAGGAAATGACACTACAGAACTACATGCTTTGAAAGAATTTCTCAATCAAGAATTCAAAATTAAAGATCTCGGGGGCTTACATTTTTTCTAGGCATGGAAGTTATCCGAGAAACAGATGGACTCCTCCTTTCTCAGCGCAAATTCACTTTAGACCTTTTCCAACAATTTGATTCTCTCCATTTGTCACATGTTTCTTCTCCACTCGATTCGTCTACTCCTTTGTCTACTCACACAGGGGAACCAGTGAAGGATCCCACCTTGTATCGTCATCTCCTTGGAAAACTTAACTACCTCACTCACACCCGCCCAGACTTATCCTTCACTGTCCAACACCTCAGCCAGTATATGCAGGACCCTCGACAACCACACCTAGATGCAGCACTCCGTGTGCTTCGCTATCTGCTCAAAGATCCTGGGTTTGGGCTTTTTATGTCTGCTTCCTCCTCCTTCAAGCTCTTAGCTTTTTGTGACTCCGATTGGGCCACCTGCCCGGACTTGAGGAAGTCGGTAAGTGGTTTTTACATTTCCCTTGGTACCTCTCCGATCACTTGGAAATCCAAGAAGCAAACTTCCATCTCGCTCAGTTCAACCGAGGCAGAATACAGATCTATGCGGCGAGTGGTTGCAGAGCTCACATGGTTGGTTCGTCTTTTTGAGGATTTGTCAATTCCTATTTCTCTTCCAGTCCCTCTTCACTCCGATAGCCAAGCAGCAATTCATATATCAAAAACCCTGTTTTTCACGAACGAACGAAGCACGTTGAAATTGACTGTCATTTTGTACGCGAGCAATACCTCGCTGGGCTGATTTCGTTAACTTTTGTTGGATCTTCTGCCCAGTTGGCAGATCTATTCACCAAACCACACACCAGACCTCTTCATCGTGATCTTTTGGGCAAGTTGGGTGTGTTTTCTACCCCCTCCAACTTGAGGGGGGTGTTGGAGTCGATTTTGAGGAAGATGAAAGACACATATGAGGCTCGTGGGTTATCACTTATAAGTTATCACGGATTAGTTCCCCCTACAATCAAGATAAGTACTAACATTCATCACAAAACTTAACGGGCGTTTTGGTATATTATACACATATTTAGTTTAAGATACAAGATTAAGTTTTTCTTACTTTTCAAAACATTATGATCAGTCAAATTATGATTCATTTTAAGACAAAGCATCTTAACTGGCATCATGTTTATGTTAGTTAAGTGTGTATAGATCTTTGAGTAGTCTCACTTTAATAGGAAAAATGGTAGCTTTTCTTGTTTCTTTTTTCTTGTTTTGGCTAATCATTGCAAGTTCTGAGACTGTCTTCAAGCATATGTTTTCCCTATTGAAAGTTTGTTTGCTTTCTGCAACTTTGAATCTCATCTTCAAGTACTTTCACACACAGAATTGGGATAGCCATCAATCCTAACAATTCTGCCTTACATAGCTTTGAACTAGTCGACGAGCGATTGAGCTTTGCTCTAATAATATAAAACTAAAACACCAACAGAGATAAGTTGGTCAAATTTTTCAATATTCACTGTCACACCTCCTTTTTCCGCACCCGGGGGGCACATGGGAGTTTTTTCCAATTAAAGGACAATCGAAACGGGATTTATTTAATTATTTCAGAGTCGCCACTTGGGAGATTTAGGGTGTCCCAAGTCACCAATTTTAATCCCGAATCGAGGAAAAGAATGACTCTATATTACAGTCTGCGTACCGGAAATCTAGATAAGGAATTCTGTTAACCCGGGAGAAGGTGTTAGGCATTCCCGAGTTCCGTGGTTCTAGCACGGTCGCTCAACTGTTATATTCGGCTTGATTATCTGATTTTATACAAGTGTGAACTTATGTGCCAATTTTATCTTTTAACCGCTTTTATCATTCACTGTTATTTTATAGGACTTGCAACGTTGTGAAAACANATTGTTATTAAATCCAACTTCTATTACTAAAAATGAGAAATATGGCTTTAACGCCAGTAGTCATGATTTTTTCATTCAGACATCCATATACTTATTGCAACGAGAGTACATAATACACGTGAGTACTTACATTCGCAACAATTCACTGGATGTCAAATTGTTTCCTTAATAAACACAAATATATGCATAGAAGTAAACATTCTCGTAAAAACTTAAGCCCATGATATATTCTCTCATTTACTTTAAGCATATGCAGTAACTAATCATAAGATGAACATTTTAACAAAGAAACGAAAATTGCATTGTTGACATTCATCTTAAACCATAATATGCGAATCGA